CACCTGCACCCTCCTGTTACCTCCAACACCTGCCTGATACTCACCTGACGCCCACCTGCACCCTCCTGTTACCTCCAACACCTGCCTGATACTCATCTGACGCCCACCTGCACCCTCCTGTTCCCCTGACACCTGCCTGATACTCACCTGATGCTCATGTGCATGAACCCAGTACCAGCCAGCTCTGATTCCTTGTATGAAAGAAAACAGACTGGGAGCTTAGAGAAAGAAAAAAGTTGTATAATCTTAATATATAAGAAAAACGTTTTTCAAAAATTTACAAAAGAAGTGTTAGTGATAAAGTAAAACCACAGGCTTGGAGCCGGATGTATCTGGTAAGAAAATCTCAAAAAGAGCTTTGTGGATTTGTGTAACTTTCCACCAAAGCCAGTTTGATTGCATTGTGTATTTCCTTGAGCTAAACTCTTGATTCTCACTGTTAGTAATTAATGTTGTACTTGCAATTCGTTCATCTCATTTTCAGAGAAAACGATTTCAATGCTTAACAGCACCTTACAATTCTATTTACCATCACTTTGACAGTCTAATAGTAATCATTAGTCAAAAGTGCACCTGATTTGTGTGTGATTTCCTTTTTTTTTTTTTTAATATTTAAAATATTTCATTGTCTTTAAAAGTCACTTGGTTTTTGTAGGGAATGGACACGAGCTAGGGCTCTGATTAGTACAAGGGAGCTTCAAAAAGTCCGTGGAGAAATTCCATTCTTCTTTTATTCGATTTCCCCATGAACTTTGTGAAACCCTTTCACATACAAGGACCAGACTATATTTTGTTGTAGAGCTCTCTTGTAAAAATGGATTACCAAATTAGCCTAAAGAACTAATGGACCGTTTGAACCACAGCCTTTGCTACCCGAGATCAAAAGAACTAGATGGTGTCCGATGACTACCACATCCAGCTCAGGATCGCAACAGAAATCCCTGAACAGAGACGGAGAAAAAATGTGGAAGAAAATTTAACACACGTGTAACTGACCAGACTTAGTGGTCTGGTAAAGACTGCTGGGACTCTCTAGACTATGGCTCTAACACACCCCTCAAACCTGGAGCTGAGCCAACTCCCAGAGATCCACTTCCAGCCAACCAGTAGACCTATGAAGAGAATATGAACGTACTCCTCAGTACAATCAAGTGCACAGACCAGAAGGGCAGCGGACACCCAGGGAGGGAGTGGAAGAGCACTGGTACCCTGAGGGGATTGTAGCCAGTGTCACCCAACAAAATGGGACTAGATTGCTGTGGGGAAAAAATTAAGAGGCTCTCCGAACTTTCACCCAAACTACAATTTATTGAAAGTGTGAGCATGTGTGCAATGTTGTGGTTAACAAAGAACAAAGAACCAGGTTCTAACCAAAACTTAAATCACAGAATAAGATCCCAGACTGTTCAAGTGCCTGTCCAATTATAGCTGCCATTCTTATCCACTACGCAATGAGTGGCTACAATTCTAATCATTGATAGTACAAGTAGAAGCTTGTTTAGTGGAGGCTTAGAATCCAAACCATTCTTAGATCCCGAATTCCTGGACTCAGTTCCAGGCTCACCATATCAGAACATGCAGGGGAGGACCCTGGCCCGTAGATTCTAAGCCAGGTCCCCTTTTGACCCACAAGTGCTGACCCAGGTTAAGAACCTCATAATTGAAAAGAACGTTCATCTGAGTGCTTATTGCTATGATATGGAATTAGAGCTTGGTCCATAAAGAACATAATGTTTAAATGGTGAGATAGAAACACAATACTGGCTTCTGGAAACTGACAGGAAACAGTCATGGTTTTCATGGGCTGTGAAAACACAGTGCTGCCATGACAACAGTCACCAAGTACAGCTTCATTCAGCTGTTGGCAACAGTCACCCAAGCACCTAAAAACTGGGACAATTGAAAAAGATGTTAGAGAAGTTGGCCTTATCTTACGCATATTTTTGTATAAAGGTTACAGCGCTTGTAATCTGGTACCCAGGTGTATTTGGAGCCCTGTGAAGTTGGTCATGGACATTTTGGAGTTTAGCTCTGAGGTCTTTTGTAAATGCTGTTGGGAAACAATGTGTGAAGTTCTGAACTACAGACTTGTATAGGAGTTTAAAACAGAGTGCTCCCACAGAGTTTACTCATTCAGTCGTTGCAAGAGCGATGAGCTCTAATCTAGGTGTTAAATATGCTTTCACGATAGATTACCAGTACAGGATAATTGCACAAGCCTGCGATCTGAGAACTCTGGTTGGTTTGGCAAGAAGCAAAGAGAGTGATCTTCGCTTTTTTCTCCCACCACCTCCTTTGCCATCTTTAAAAGAGGTAAGTAAATAAAATAATCCAGAGTGGGAAAAAGAGTTTCATAGACACTGATCCTCTTCACTTTGCGTGCTAACGAAACTTTCAAAAGTAACTGCTGGCTCCGTTTCTCACGGGAATGCTAATTTTCATGCAGAGCTCTCTGGATTCCCTTGGGGACTCTGTTCTGGTATTATTTTTCTCCTTTGGGGATTGGGTGTCGATGTAAACTGTAGGCGGAACCCTGGTGGTGCAGCGGGTTAAATGCTGGGTGATGGTTCCAACCCACAGCCATGCTGCAGGAGAAAGCTGTGCTAGTCTGCTTCCTACAGATTTACAGTCTTGTAAATGCTGTGGAAGGAGAGTTCTCCTCTGTCTTGTCCATTCACCGTGATGCGGGATCCACTGGGTGGCTGTGGTGGGTACAGCACATCAACATCAACATCTGCAGACTGATAACTTGCTTTCAGGCTACTATAAATCAGGGTTTCTCAGTCTCAATACCAAATCATTCTTTGTTCTGGGAGCTGTTCGATGCATTGGAGAGTGTTAGCCTCTCTGGCCTCTTGCTGAACACTGTTAGCACCCACTGGTAACCACCAGAAGGTCTCCATCCACTGCTGGAGGCCTCCTGGGTTGAGAACCACTGCTGTTTGCATTGCTGCCTGAGCACCCTTGGGAGACCGGGGAGTGGAAATCAGAAAACTCCTACGTAGCGACCTGCTTTTAAAAAATAGAAAAATGTCTATACTAGGTACGTGTATAAACGATTAGAGAAAGTGAGATAGAAATGAGTTCTAGATTAAAAAGCTTTGGTTTGTTGTTGTCACTAGTTGCCCTTCAGTTGACACTTACCCATGGCGGCCCCTTGTGCAACAGAGCAAACGATGCTGGGTCTCGCTTCATCTTCGAAGTCCTTGGTTGTTTGCTGGAGTCCACTGTTGGTGGCCATGGTATATTTGAGTGTATTCCAGCACTAACGGGATATAAGTGACCTGTGAGGTTTTATTGACTAGTTTTCAGGAAGAGATCAGCAGGTCCTTCTAATCTGCCTCAGTTTGGAAGTTCCACCGTGGGTGACCCTACAGACGGTTGAAATGGCACAGTTTCGGACATCATAGAACCACACCAGCCGCCCCCGTACCACAGGCTGACAGCTGAGTGGTGGTATCCCTTTAGTTATGCAGATCCAGGCAGTAGGCATGAAATTATAAAATTCCACTAACTTCTCTGACGGCCTTCCTCCTGGCTTAGTTCTCTGGGCCCTCTTCCTCTCCTGCAGGACTCCTCCTTTGAAGAAGAGCTCAGGCACCTGCTGACCTCTCTGCCGCAAACAGAAGTGGACGAATGTGTCCAGTATTTTACAGCTTTGGCCCTGAGTGAAACCAGTCAGAGTCTGGCCGCTCAGAAGGTAAGTTCACTCAGTCTCTCGGGTGTTTGTGATTGCGTACTCCTCCTAAGACAAGTACCTGTTTCCAGAGTATTTTGTGGTCCTCATTAGCTGCTGCAGAGTCAGCTCTGAGTCTTGGTGGCCGTCCGTGCACGAAATGAAATGGTGCCTGGTCCTGTGTCAGCTCAGGATCTCTGTGACTTCTGTGCTTCTCTGAGGCTTCACTAAACACAGTGTCCTCTGGTGATCTCTAAGGTTTTGATGGCCTGATTTTCAGAAGTGGATTGCCAGACCTTGCTTGTTTGTCTGAGTTTGGCATTTCCCCTGAAAGCTGTCCACTGTGGGTAACCATGGTGATAGCTGAGACACAGGAGGCCCAGATTCCAACACCATAGCAACACACATGCCGTCACAGTACAACTGACAGATGAGCGGTGGCCAAAATATTAGAGTCCTACATATTAATTATGGAGTCCTAGCGTGGGCTGCGAGATAATACACTGGACTCTAAGGTCAGTTTGAACCTTGAGGTCGGTAGTTCAAACCCAGCAGCCACTCCTTGGAACCCCTAAACAAGGTTGCTGAGTCCAGAACTGACTTGGTAGTACCTAACGGCAACAACAACTTTAATGACTCCGTTCTAATACGTGGTGGAGTCCTGGTGTGAGGCTACTGTAGGATAAGCACTGGACTTCTAACCGTAAACTCAGTGGTTCAGACCCACCAGCCATTCTTTTGAAACCCTATACAGAGTGGCTCTGAGTCGGAGCTGACTTGGTGGCGCCGAACAGCAATAATACTGTATGTTACACTGAGATTTTTTTTGTCAAAAGATAGTGATCATTTTTTTCAGTAAAATTTCTCATTCTCTTCATTTCAGGGTGGCTTGTGGTGCTTTGGAGGAAATGGACTTCCTTATGCTGAAAGCTTTGGGAAAGCCCCTTCAGCGACAATAGAAACATTCTGTTTAGAAGCGATAGTAAAGCATTCTGAGGTAATGAACTTTTCTAAAGGGAGTTGATTTCTATGACTGCATCGGTAAATCATCCAGGGTGGTTTATGCAAGAAGTTGCCCTGGCAGTGCAGTGGGTTCAATGTTGAGGCTGCTGACGGAAAGGTCAGCAGTGCAGACTGACCCGCCACTTTGGGGAAGAAAGCTGGGGTAGACTCGGAGTCTCAGAAATCCTGTGGGTGGTTCTGTTTTATCCTGTTGGAATCATCTCGCTGGCTATGTGTTTGGGGTTTTGGTTGGTTTATGCAAGGAAAATGATCAGTGTCCGTCTATTTTAATCTGAAACAGATTTTTAAGTTTCTGGTTTCCCCAGTTTAATTGCTAGAATTGATAACGATCATACGTGAATTCCATAGCTAAGGAGTTTTTCAAATGGGTTTAACCTTAACTTGTCTGTAAAGAACACTGCCTGTCTTCAGAATAGGGCATTTACATTTGAGTTACAGTGTCTTCTGCTTTCTCAGATCATTTTTATGCATACTATTACCAGGTTGTTAATTTCTTTGAAAACAAACAGCTGCCAAAGATGTGTCGTGGTAGGAAAAAGGGGAACTCTTGGCTGACCACACTCTGAAGTCCACCACTAGTGTCCACCAGTGACTGAAACTGACTTGTATCACGACACCTTTCTCACAATTGATTGTTGAGTGCTGTTGAGTCAGTGCCGGCTCACAGTGACCTTCTATAGGGTTTCCAAGGAGTGGCTGTTGCTTTTGAACCTGTGACCTTGAGGTTTAAACAGACCTCAGGGTCCTGTGCTTTATCCTATAGCGCCACACTGGGGCTCCTACTGTGGCATTGTTGTTGCTGTTGTTGAGTGCTGTTGAGTCATTGGTTCCGACTCATAGTGACCTTGTATAGGGTTTCTTAGGAGTGGCTGGTGAGTTTGAACCACCAATCTTACGGTTCAAACCCACCCTGCGATCCAGTGCATAAGGCCACAACACCACACCAGGACTTGTTGCCAACTGTGTCACCTGGCTGTAATATACATTGCACCTTTGCTTTCTTTCTTTCTGCATGGTCAGATTCCTTTTTCTTATCTTTTCACCTGGTCTTTCTCTTTGTAAATCTTTCCAACTCTGGAGTTTTGGGCCAGCCCCATACTCATGGTCATTGCCTGTCCTAGATCGCCATGGGGAGGGCCACAGAGTTGGCTGTCAGTGGCTGGGGTCGTCCGCATGAGCCCATGGGCTGATTTCCTCTGACCTGGTGGCTGATTCCTCAAGGTGACAGACTTGTCTTGAGGTAGCTTCAAGCCAAATCAAAATATCCCTGTAAGTTGAATCAAGTCTGTTACAGTGACTTTGTCAGGTTATCTCTGACCCAAGAGCTAAGCAGAATAATTTTAAGAATTAAAAGTTTAGAAGCCCTGAGGAGATATACCTTCTTAGAATTATTACAAAGATTTCAAAGCCCTTCCCACTGAGGGAGGGCTGGCTCTCTCAGTTAAGCCAAGAGCAGAGGTTGGTGTGTCTGGGGTGGCCGTGCCGTGTCACCTGGTGTGTTGAGAGTCTGTACAAAGCGCACTCTTGCTGATGTGTTCTGATAGATCCCCACCCACTGTGAGAAAATTGAAGCAAATGGAGGCCTGCAGCTGCTTCAGAGGCTCTACCAGCTGTACCGGGACTGCCCGAAAGTGAAGAGGAACATCATGCGCGTCATTGGGAACATGGCGCTGAACGAGCATCTTCACCCTGCAATCGTGAGCTCAGGTACCTCTGCTCCTGCTTCCACCTCCCCTCACAGTTCACAGCTGTGTCATTAGCGGGTCCTGAGAGCACGTATGATGGCAGGAGAAGGGATGATGAGACATGGGGCTGACCCCACCTCAGATGAAGCATTTGTCTGGAAGCCGCTCACAGACTGGTCAGGGTAGTTGTTGAGACGATTGGGTCGAACAGGGATCCTCTGTGCCATGCCCACTTCCCCTCTGGCTCCTAATGAGCAGACGGTGGGAGACACTAAGACCACATAGAGACCCTGAGCAACCCCACCTCATGGTAATTCCTGCCTATCTGAGTAACAGAAATGCCCCAAGAGGTGACTGTAAAGAGCAGACACGTAGAGTCTCTTTCCGTGTGTGTGAGTGTGAGTGTGAGTGTGTGTGTAAAGATGACTCTCCTTGCATGTGTTCAGGGCTGTTGCTATGAGTCCCCACAAAGGTGAACTGACTCCGCTAACCCACCGAGTCCTAGAATTCATGCTAAACACTTATCATGACGTTTCTTTATTTTGGGTAACTTTTTTGTCATCTCTAGTAACTACGATTTTTATGAGGTGTTCCTAAAGGAAATGGTTACTGAACCCTTTGTACCTTCCTCTTCTCCCTCTCTTTTTTAAAAATAAAATTTTACCAATTTACACAGTAAATTAAGTTCCCATTCCACAGTTTCTATACAAATTGTTCAGTGATGTTGGTCACCATTCTAATTGCATTCTGGTAGTTCTGTTTCTAGCACTCTAGCTGCCCTACCCCTTGTACCTTCTTGGAGATTCCTTAAGGGGCCCCTGCTTGGGGGCCATCATGGACTCGTGCCTTGGGGCTCTAGGTCTTCAGGGAGGAATGAAGTGGGTGACCCAGCTTTTCCACTTGGCTGATGTACTAGAGGTTTTCTTTCTCTCACTGCCCTTTGCCTTAAGGCCTGTCATGTCAGTGAGTAGGGGATGTGCCCTTGTCTCCCCCACAGGCTGGGTTTCTCTGATGGCAGAAGCAATGAAATCTCAGCAAATCATGGAGGCCTCACATGCAGCCAGAACGCTGGCCAATCTGGACCGAGAGACGGTGCGAGAACGGTACCAGGATGGCGTGTATGTCCTGCACCCCCAGTTCCGCACCAGGTACGAGGCTCGACAGCAGTTCCAGCTCAGGACTGGGGGGCTGACGTTGCCTGTGATTTCTGCAGCGTTTACACATGCTGAGTGACCCTATAAGGAGCACAGTGGCACAGGGGGCTCAGTGTTGGACTGCTAACTGCAGGTTGGTAGTTCAACCACCAGAAGGATGGTGCTGTCTGCCCCTGGTGTTCGTTGCCATCTTGGAAGCTGTAGGGAGCAGTTGGACTCTGTCCAGGACGGTCACTGTGAGTCAAAATTGACTTTTGCCTTTTGGTTTTGAAGTATATTGTAGATAAGTCCGGTCCCTTCATAACTGAAGCCAGCTGTCCAGAATAACCCAGGAAGAGTGGCAGGTCACCATAGGAACATGTAATCTGACTGCCCTGTTGGGGTTATCTTAACCTGCGGGTGTCTGAAGGCCTTGGTAGTCACCTCTTAGACAGTAAAATCTGTGTAAGAAGCCTGTCACCGAAGGAGAAGGCCATTATTTCTGCTAATCCTGACAGAAAAGAGGCATGACTACACCCTGTCCAAGGCAGAAACCTTGTGAGACCCGGAAAAACAAGGCCACCCCCTCGAGTTCCGGCTCTCACAGGGCTCACTAACGTGGAACTTTCTGAAGCGTGTTTCTTCCTTGTCTCAAAGCCTTTGTCCCATAGATCTGGGCTAATGATGGCTATGGGCTGTAGAGATTGCCTTGAAGAGTTCTGCCTGGGCCCCAAGTTGAGGGCCCAGAAAAGCTTGATGCAGGTCTGGGGGTTGTGATCAGCTTAACTTGGGCCACTTCTTCAGCTTCACCTTGTCCCCTGCCCTCCCAGCCCCCTGTTGGCAGCTGTGTGACTGCATCCAATAAACACAGCCAGGATCACGGGGGAAAAAGTCACACATCTTCCCTTGTACTTGAATCTTGAATCAGACACTTCAAAAAAATACCTCAGAAAATAGCAAAAGCTTTTTTTTTAACCCCTTTTAATTTGAAAACTGGGCCATCTGGCTAATTCCAGGTTGTATATAACACAATACTATGATGGCATCTTACATGTGTGTTACAGAATTGTGTATAATTGTGTATAATACAAGTAGCTTGTAAGTAATATGCTATCTGCAATTGTTTAAATGTACTAACGAATCTTTTGTTTAAAATATCATTTACTGTGTTTCCGATAGTACTTCATTTATTTTCCCTGCCAAAAGTTGTAAAAATACCCACCCCCCACGCCTCCTGACTCTGCGTCTGCGTTGGTCACTGTCTGTTGCCATTGAGTCAGTTCTGACTCATGGTGACCTTCTGTGGAGAACTGTCCTCCTTTCATTTCTGAGGTACTTCCACCACATGCGGACTCTTCCTGTGGTGTCCACTGGAGGGGGACCCTCGGCACCCATCACTTTAGGGCTGATCTCACTGTGGGGGTCCCTCGACACCCTTCACTTTAGGGCTAGTCTCACTGTGGGGGGACCCTCGGCACCCATCACTTTAGGACTGATCTCACTGTGGGGAGATCCTCGGCACCCTTCACTTTAGGGCTGGTCTGACTGTGGGGGGACCCTCGACACCTGTCACTTTAGGGCTGGTCTGTGGGGCAGCAGGGGCCTGGTCACCGCTCATGTCAGGGTCACCGGTGACCCTGCGCTCACATGCTGCCTGAATTAAGTTTCACTTGATGTCGCCCAAAGCCACTAAAGCAACAGCCCCAGAGAGTGCTGTGTAGATTCCTACCAGAGTAATAATGTGTTTATTCTGCTTCTCTTTGAAACTCTCTCCCCTCTCAGTCAGCCCATTAAAGCCGATGTCCTTTTTATTCATGGCCTTATGGGAGCAGCCTTCAGAACATGGCGCCAGCAGGACTGTGAGCAGGTTCTGATGGAAAAGGCTTCTGAGGACGAAGACAGGTATACCACGTGCTGGCCCAAGGTAAGGGAGCCGCCAGCTGTGAGCCAGCCCCACTCACACCACACTGCCAGCATGAGGGGTTTCTGTGCAGTGTTCCTTTCCCAGCATGCAACATTAACAGCTGAGCCTGCCGCTCGCTCTGTGCCGTGTGAGTCCTGGGTAGGGTGTAGTCTAAACACATTCTGCTAGATAACGCGTAGAGGGATGCATGGAAGGGCCAGTGATACTTCCCTCCCATTAGAGCAAACTCTTAGAAGTGATGACAGGAGGAACAGAGAGGACCCTGAGTGATGTCATTGGCTGTTTGCGCTGCCTGCTAACGTAGAGGTCGGCAGTTTGAACTGAGTGGTGGTGCCACAGAAGATAAGGCCTGGAGCCCCGGGTCACAGTCATTGAAAGCCCTACGGCGGCACAGTTGTACTCTTAACGCATGGGGTCGCCGCGAGTCGGTGTCAGCTCCACAATAGTGTACACAAGCAACAGAATCCATACTCATATGACAGGTAATCACATGTTCTGTGGTTTCAATAATTATAAAAATAGACTTTCAAGAAATCATTTCACTTACATTTGACATTTTCCAAAGAATATTGAAAGAAAATCATTTGGCGTACTTTCATCGAATAGAACTTATTTAAATGCCATTTAAAATTGATGCCCATATGCATGCGAGAGGAGTTCCAGTGGCCCAATGGTCAGTCACTCGGCTGAAAGGTCGTTGGTTCCAACCACCATCGGCTCCACAGGAGAAAGACGTGGCAGTCTACATCCATAAAGATGACAGCCTCTGGAAACTGGACGGGGCCGTTCCCCTTGCTCAGAAGTGACTTGCTGGCACACGGTTTGGTTTGGGCTTTAAGTTATATGTGTGTGAACTCTTTCCAGGGTTTGAACCACTGCTCCTTACTCATTATTCACGAGGTCTTTTTTAAGTAGAATGAATTGCTTATGCTTTCCCTGTGGTCACATTGAACAGAGATGTTACAGTGGCCGAACTGTCACGCTTATCAGACAACTCGGGAGCCCAAAGAAACTAACGCAAAAGGAGGAAGTTAAATGAAAGAGCAGAACAGAGGTTATTAAAGAGTGGCTCAAGAAGACAAAGTATTAAAATAAAATGTTCAAAGATCTGGAGTTACACAATTAAAAGGGAAGAACATGCTATGCATATCTCAAGCTGAAAAAACGCAAGCCTTGAGTTGAGGGGTTCTACGGGCAAAATATTGAATGACACAGGACGCATCTAACGAAGATGGAAGGACTACTCAGAGTCACTGAACCAAAGGGAACTGTTGACGTTCTCCCATTTCAGGAGGTAGCGTATGGCCAAGTACCAAGGGTATTGGTGGAAGAAGTCCAGGCTGCACTGAAGGCATTGCCTAGAAACAGGGATCCAGAAATTGACGGAATACAGAGTGAGATGTTTCAACAGATGGATGCAATGCCAGAAGTGCTCATTCGTCTATACCAAGAACTGTTGAAGACAACAAACCCGTCTCCATACCCATTCCATAGAAAGGATGCAGTTGTTATCGAACAGTATCATTACTGTCACGTGCAAGTAAAGTCATACTAAAGATAATTCAAAACTGGATGCAGCAATTCATCAGTAGGTAACTTCCAAAAATTCCAGCTGGATGCACAGAGGATATGGAATGAAGGATATCACTCCCTATGCCAAATGGATCTTGGCTGAAAACAGAGAATATCAGAAAGATGTTTCCCTGTGTTTTATTGACTATGCAAGGCATTTGACTGTGGTGGTGGTGGTGTGCCATGGAGTTGGTTCCAACTCAGCGATCCTACATAGGGTTTCCAAGGCTGTAAATCTTTACAGGAACACAAAGTCTCATTTTTCTCCCATGGAACCACTGGTAGTTTCAAACTGCTGACCTTGAGGTTAGCAGCCCGACTCGTAACTACTATGCTACCAGAGCTCCTTGATTGTGTGTAGTTAAGTGCTGTTGAGTCGGTTCTGACCCATAGTGACCCTGTATAAGGGTGGTTTCCAAGGAGCATCAACACCAACCTTGCAATTCGAACCAACTTTGCAGTCTAGTGCATTAACCCATGGCACCACACCGGGACTCCTGATTGTGTGTAGCATAGGTAATTATGGACACTGTTGGGAGGAATGAGAATGTCAGCACACTTAATTGTGCTCATGCAAAGCCTGTACACAGATCAAGAGGCCGCCATTAAAACAGAACAAGGGTGGTTTAAGATCAGGAAAGCTATGTGTCTGGGTTGTATCCTTTTACCATATTTATTCCATGTGTATGCTGAGCAAATAATCTGAGAAGTTGGAGTAAAGAAGACTGCAGCACTGGCATTGGAGGAAGCCTCGTTAACCACCTGCAATATGATGGCACCACCTTGGCTTGCTGAAAGTGAAGAGGACTTAACACACGTACTGATGATGATCAAAGGTTCAAGTCCTCTTCACAGATTATATCTCAACACAGAACAAAAACCTTCATAATTGGACAGTAAGTGGAGAAAAGATTGAGTTGTCAAGAGTTTCCTTTTACTTTGGCTCCTTAGTCAATGCCCATGGAAGCAGCAGTCAAGAAATCAAATGATGTATTGCATTGGGCAGGACCTGGTGGTGCAGTTGGTTAAACATTGGGTTACTGAGAGAACAGTTGTTAGAAGTTGTCCTTAGAAGAAGGATGAGACAGTCTGCTCCCATAAAGACTTACAGCCTCAGAAACACTGTTCTGTAGAGTGACTAGGTGTCTAAGCTGATTTCCTGATGATGGTGCTGGTGTGTTATCAAATCGGTTTTGACTCCTAGTGACCCTGTGTAGGGTTTCAGAGGCCTGCAGAGTGGTAGATTTGAACTGCTGACCTTGCGCTAACAGCGCAATGTGTAACCACTACACTCCAAATTGACTTGATAGCAGTGGGTTATTGCATTGGACGAATGTGCTGCATAAGACCTCTTTAAAGTGTTAAAGAGCCAAGGTGTTAGTTTGAGGACTAAGGTGCACCTGACCAAAGCCATGCTATCTTCAGTAGCCTTGTATGCATGTGAAAACTGGACAGCGAAGAAGAACCGATGCCTTGAATGTCATGGTGGTGAAGAATACTGACACCCCATGGACTTCCAGCAAAACCAAACAAAGCTGTCATGAAGAAGTACACGTAGATAGATGCTCTGTAGAAGCGGAGATGCCAAGACCTCTTTTCATATGCTTCAGACATGTTATCAGGAGGAACAAGTCCCTGGAAAAGGACTTCATACCTGGTAAAACAAAAAAGAGAAAGAGCTTCAACAGGATATGTGAACACAGTGGCTCCAACAATGGGCTCAAATATAACAAGGTGACGAGGACAGCGTGGGACCAGGCAGGGTTTTGTTTTGTCGTGCATGGGGTCACTGAGTTGGCCCCGATTTAACAGCATCTAATGACAGGACTCAAGTCCTAGCCAATAGCTTTCTATTGTTGTTGTTAAGTGCCATTGAGTCGATTCCGACCCATAGCGACCCATATAGGGTTTCCGAGGAGCAGCTGGTGAACTTGAACCGCCGACCTTGCAGTTTAAACGGCTTTGCCGGCTGGCGCATTAACCCACAGCGCCACACCAGGACTCCCTTTTGGCTGTAGCAGATTAAAATTGAGAATATTTCTTGTAATCTATATGGACTTTATGCTGTAGACATTAATACAACTTTGCAATTGGGGACATAAAAAGAAAATGTTGAAATTGTCTTTGTATTCACCTTTAAACTTTATTCCAGTGTTAAATTAATCTGGTGTGGTGCTGTAGGATAAGCACTGGACCATAAGGTAGTTTGAACCTTAGGTGGAGGTTCAAACCCACCAGCCACTCCTTGGAAACTCTATACAGAGTCGCTATGAGTCAGAACCCACTAGACGACTTAACAACAGCACCAACTTTAATTAGGCGTCAGTATCGCACGAGGCCTCTAGTTAGGAAGTTTAGTTGTTAGGGAGTAATGGGCAATGGAAACTCATCTGTGTTCTTTTGAACCTTTCATTCTACCTAGACGTGGTTAGCGAGAGACTGTCCTGCCCTGCGCATCATCTCTGTGGAGTACGACACCAGCCTCAGTGACTGGCGAGCAAGGTGCCCCACAGAAAGGTAAGGGCGGGGGGCCCTGTGATCTAACATCAATGGCTTGATCATCAGAACTCGACTACAGGAAGAGTAAATAAAAACAATTTTTGATAAAGGAAATGAGGGTAAATTGGTACAATTTGATGATCTTGAGCTATACTCATGGAGGGTAGTAACTCTAAATACCAACAGCGAGGGAAGGAGTCTTCACATCAAGTATCAATGCTATCTTAGCAACTTAGACATTGGCTACCTAAAATGAGGGGGTGATAAAAGGCACGAAGTGACTGGCTTACCAGGTTTCAAAGGGGAGTTTAAGAGTGGGGGTGGGGGGATAGAGTCCCCACTGAATAGTTTTCATCTTGTCTAGATGAGTCTGGTAAAAAGAGACGGGGATATGATTCAATAGTGAGTAATTGTTATCATGACTAATTGCAAATGTCACAATTGTAAAGGTAGAAGTTTTGTAACAAAAACGAGGGAGTGGTTAATCTTACAGTCCAGAAACAGAGGACCCTAAGATCATCAGGTCCTAAGATCCTCAAGGGATGCACAAGCAGAATAGGGGGGACCCTATCCAGAGAAGCAGCGACACCAGAGATGGAGACAGAGATGGGGACATGGAGAGACCGAGCAGCTGAGCACTCTAGATTCATGGAAAGAGAGGGACTGAGAGATGGTGGCCAGGAGGCAGATTTGTAGAATGTGCCCTTTGAAGGTGTAAATTATTTTATATGCCTGAGTTTTTGTTGTTGTTTTTTAAAGCTAACTTGAATAGCGAGAAATACTGTTAACTGATGGTACATGGAGGGGATTATAATCATCGTAAAGAAACAAGGTGTATGATTTGTTGAAGGTAAAACTGATGCTCTGTCCTGTAAACTTTCACTCAATCCACAATAAAAACCTTTAAAAACAAACAAAGGTAAGTGGGGGGGCGGGGGCATGCGAGGGAGAGGTGGACGGCCACCCTAATCCTCTAACCAGGAGGGACTTGTATCTTTTGATAAAAGGATTTTCTGACAAGATTTACTTCAGAAAAATTAACCTGCCGGTTTTCTCTTCCTTCTAAATGAACTTAGCTTTCTAGAAGGAAAAGAAAAACTCCATTATCATTTTTATAAAAATGTTTTATTGTGAATTAGGTGATAGTTTACATGGGAGAACATTAGTTTTACCTTCATCCTATCGTATATCATTTCACTGTCATGGTTACAATCCCCTCCATGCATCATCAACCAACCAAACCTGCAAACCCGCCCCCAGTTCCATTATCTTTTAATTCCCTTTTTCTACGACCTATTTGAAATTCTCTCATATAAAAAATATATATCTAAAATCCCATTATCTTTTAATTCCATTTTCCCATGAACTTTTTGAAGCCCCCTTCATATAAAGACACTGATATATTACAGGGCTTAGATATTTGTCAGTTTTGAACTGCACACTGACAATGGGAACAGACAGTAGAAGAAGTCTCCTTTTCTACCAAAAAGTGGTGCCGACTGCTCTGTGCTCCACCGAAAGCCGCTAAAGGAAGAGGAGGAAAAGGTGCTGCTCACCACAGGCCCAGTGGTCACTCTGGTTGCTCAGGCTTTGTGTCAGCTCGGCTGGCCCTGCAGTCTAGTGGTGTAGCAGGTAGGATGTAGCCATCCCCTATGATGAGACCTGCTATAAAGCGCCCACCCCCCCAATGTGATTATGCTGTGTGCTGTAAGCCCTCACTTCTAGATGTTAATGAGACCACATGCAATCTATAGGATTAGGATGTAGTTTGAGTCAACAAACCGTCCGTGCACTGTGAAGCTCTTAGATCTACAGAAGCATTGGTGCCAAGACCCATGGAGAGCTAGCTCCCAGGACGGCTGGGCCTGCAGATGCTGAAAGGAGACAAGGACCTTTCCCCTTCTAGCCTCCCACGCTGTGAGCCTGGATTTCAGTTAAGGTCATCACTCGTGGAATTTCTGTTAGAGCAGCACTTGGGAGCTAAGACACATGGTCACATGTGCTAGTTGTGTACAGAGGGGAGATCCCTGGCCAGCTCTCCCTTTGACCCACGGTCTGACCTGCAACAAACCACGGGTGTCTCTGGGGAGCATTGTCTGCAGATTATAAGTTGGTCTGGGCCTGGAGTGGACCCCTTCTAGAAGCTGGAGGAAGTGAACAAAGGACCCCACATCTCCCTCCCATTCCTGCAGAGAAGCTCTGAAAAGTCTGTGTTTGGAAGGAGGTCAGCTGTGAAGAGTTGGAAGCTACCAGACTAGATGTTTTGAAATTTCCTTTCAGTCTGAAGTCTGATTCTAGTAGTCTTGGAAACCCTATACAGGGTTGCTCTGAGTAGGGACAGCCTTCCAGTCTTCCTAAATCATAAGCCCAGTGATGTGGGTTCAGTGTTCGCAGTGTCAATACAAGTAAAACTGATCGGAGTGACCACTGACCCCATGGAGGTAAACTCACAAAACACAGTCTTCAGTGACCATCTTTTTCAGTTTCTCTGAATGGTCAGGTAGTTGATTGGAGCTCCAGGTTCCCCCGGGGAAAATCACCAGACACACACTAGATGCTCCCACAATGCTGGCGAGGCAATGAACAGCTAGTGGGCATGGTGTAGGGGTGAGCTCCAGCCTCAGAAGTCGTGGGCAGCATTAGTCCAATACCCTGGGAAGAGGTGACAGCTGCTCTTTCCTTTTGTTCAGGAAGTCCATTGCCTTCAGAAGCAACCAGCTCCTTCAGAAGCTCCGAGCGGCGGGTGTCGGGGACAGGCCCCTGGTCTGGGTGTCACACAGCATGGGGGGTAAGTGGCGGCCAGCCAGAAGTGACTGTGTTTGGACACATTAATGTAAGCTGTGCACACAAGGTCGGTAAATGATGACTTGCTTTCTTTCCCAGTTCATGTTTCTGGCCGTGACTAGGAGTTTTAAAACCACTGCTCTCCTTCCTGCTCTTTGCTTCTCTAGAAGGGAGCTACCAGTTTGACACCTTCATGCTTTTGTCTCAATGATAAGGACTGCAGGTCAGCAGTAGCTCCTGGCTTCTGTGAACCCAGCTGCAAAACACATCAGCTTTCTGGGGGTGGCGGGGCTCTCCCAGTGCCCACTCCCACCCTGTGTCTGCTGTCTGCTCCCCAGGACCTCACTTTCGCTCAGCAGTCAGGGTTCCTGCTTCTTCCCGCTCTCTCCCTGTCCAGTCCTCCTTCACTGTCCAGCCCCAGCCTGCATTATCCTGAACGGCTTGTGGAGGTGGAAGTTGCCAGAGCTCCACTGTCACCACCTGGGACTGTCAGTCAGACCTCATGCTAGGCGCTCGGTGGGGCAGGAGGAGCAGGTGTCTTCCTGGGGACGTTCCCCTATATGCACCTTTTCCATGGCTGACAAGCTGTACGGCTGGGGTTTCAGCTCTGTCCTCAAGGTGGGCGTTGGTGGCCACAGGGGTAGGGCGGAGGACCAGCTTCCAGTCCTTTATGACAAGTGCTAATACGAGGGGCAATTCCCTTTTCTTTCACTACATTTTTCACAAACTTTTTTTGTTTTTTCTTTTTACCATGTTGGAAAATGGTTTAATGTGAAGAACAACAGGTTTCTGAGAGCGAAGTAAAAGCTGCAAATGTAGTTTCACACCATCACTTGTGCTAAGGTTGTCAAACTTGATCCTGCCCGGAGCTCTCATTACCTCAACAAGAGTTAATGACTTGGCTCTAAGTTAATGTCCTTCTTCATTGTATCCAAACCAAGTGCCAGGGAGAACTTTTTTTAAAATGGATATGTTGCAGCACAGGTAAATAACCAGGTGTGGAGTCCTGGTGTGGCTCTGTGGGTTAATGCGCCAGACTGCAAAGCCGTTTGAACTGCAAGGTCGGTGGTTCAAGCTCACCAGCTGCTCCTTGGAAACCCTATACAGGGTTGCTATGGGTTGGAATCGACTCGACGGCACTTAACAACAACAACAAATACCCTGTCAGACCTAGTTACATTTGTAGGTATACTCCCAGCCTCCCTCCCACACCTGTTCAGCCTACCTGTCTGCCTCTCCATTCATCTACATAGATCATTGTAAGAGCATTTACCTCTCTTGCCTTTCAGTCTTGCCTTCTTCCCGTGTCTTCCTATGACTTCATCCTTCTTCTGCCAGTCTCCCTCGTATAGTATATTGCTTTCCCCTTCACGCAAATGAACCCCTCTCTACCCTCTAGCCCTTGACTTACTCTCCACCCTGCTCCTGGGTGGCTCCTGAGAGCCACCGAGTGTTTTAGTGTGAAAACCTTTTCTTGACTTTTTATAGTACTGACCTCATACAATGCTTGTCCTTCTGTGTTGGACTAATTTCACTCAGTATGATGTCCTCTGTCCTCATCCATGATGTGAGGTGTTTCACAGCTTCATTATTCTGTAACATGGTGTAGTATTCCCTTGTATATAGATGCCACAGTTTGTTTACCGATTCTTCCAGTGATGGGCATTTAGACTGTTTTGTGTTATTGTCAATAGTGCTGTGATGAACATGGGTGTGCATCTATCTTTTGATGTCGTGGCTCTTATTTCTCTAGGTTATATAAAGTATAGGGATTGCTGGGTCGTACAGTATTTCAGTTTCCTGCTTTCTAAAGGAGACACTGTACTGTTTCCACAGTGATTGCATCACTTTACAGTCCCACCGCAGTTTTTTAAGGGTTCTAGTCTCTTCACACCTTCAATCGCATGTGTTTATTGCGTTTTTTTAAACTTTGTTATTAATGCTGAGGTAAGCTGATATCTCATTGTTTTGATTTGCATCTAATAACTAATGATTTTGAACATTTTTTTTCATATCTGGTGTGGTGCTATAGGATAAACACTGGACTGCCAACCACAAGGTCAGCAGTTCAAACCCACCAGACACTCCTCAGAAACCCTATACAGGGACACTATTAGTCAGAACCAACTCGACAACACCTACCGAGTAGCTTGTGATTTTAAGCATTTCTTCATTATTTCTTAGACACCTGAATGCCTTCTTTGATGAAGTGCCAGTTCGTGTCCTCTGCCCATTTTTAAATTGGAATATTTGCCTTTTTCTGGTTGAGGTATCGAAGCTTTCAATAAATTTTAGAAACGAGTCACTTGTCTGAACCCCGTCTGTGGGTTCTCCTTTTCTGCTGCCTTCTGGTGAGGTCTTTTGATGCTCAGCAATGTCTACTCTTTAGGTGGTAGCTGTCAGAGAGTTTCTCTTCTGCTATCTGTGTACTTTCTCTCAGGTTTGGTAGCATATTTATGCCACGTATCAGGGCTCCTAAGTTGGCTGCTGTTTGTTCGTTGATGTTCTTTTTAATTCTAGGTTTTGCATTTAGGCCGCTGATCCATCTTGAGTTCATTTTTGTATATGGTGTGAGGTATGGGCCCCGTTTCATTTCTCTGCAAATGGATTTCCAGTTTTGCCAGCATCACATGGAAAACTGATGAGCTCTTCCCCCTAATGTGCTTCAGCCCTTTGTCAAAGGTCACATGACTGTAAGTGGATGGATCTACCTCCGGCTTCTCAAATTTGTTCCATTGCTCTGTGGGTCTGTCATTGTACCACCCCAAACTTTTTGAAACCCCTCTGAATGTTCGGGCCGAGTTCATAGTACTATAGGCAATTCTTGTTTGAATTGTTTTTAAAGAGCATCGCTGTTGTTGGGATGTGGAGGTGGTCAGCCCTTCAACGGAGAGTCCTTATCTTTGCTAACCAAAGATGATCAGCTTGACAGATCTTATTCAAGCAAAAGACTGAAAGATTCATTGAGAGGGAAAGATCTGGCCAGAGGAGACCGGCAGAGCTCTAGGTAGCACTAACCCGTCTCCCTGAATAGAGGCTTTGCTGGGGTTTAAAGGTTTTAGGTGGGAATTTCTGGAAAGTGGCTAGATTGGGAGAGGCTATGCTAATCGGGTGTGTACACAACATTTCTTCAAGACAGATTCCATGGCAAAGGCCTCTAGTAGGGGCGCACAAAACTTATTCTGGGATGTTAGACGTGCTTGTATTTGCTGGTGTTCTCTGCCTCAGCAGAAGGTTGTCCCTTAAAGTAGGACACTAGGTAAACCAGTCCAGCCTGTGACACATCTGACAAGGAAGGGAAGTATGGAGTTTTTGTGGGTGGTCTTTTCTTACTGGCTCCCGTCTGTGCGCTCTGAGCATGGCCTACACCTCTTCACAATCGCTCAAACAAGGAGATCCAGCCCCCAGCATTCCTCAGGACTTCAGTCAGTTAAGTGGCTCATGTTTAATCCTGATGTCTGGATCCTCTTTTCTCCCACCTCACCTCTGTGTTTCTTGTTTTGCCTCTTTTGTTTGTTTTTAGGACAATGGAAGGAAGGGAAATAACTTCTGTTTTGTTTCTCTTCTGTGTCACTAGGTCTCCTTGTGAAAAAGATGCTGGTAGAAGCCTCCCGGAGACCAGACATGAGTTCCCTCATCAGCAACACCAGGGGGGTGATTTTCTACAGCGTCCCTCACCACGGCTCCCACCTGGCTGAGTATTCTGTGAACTACCGCTATTTACTCTTTCCTTCCTTGGAGGTCAAAGAACTCAGCAAGGGTAATGCCTGTCTTCTGTTGGCCAATTTTAAGGCCATTGGGACTTAAAATTAAGACACATTATGTGAGGGAGCTTTAAGAGGATTGTGGGAAAATGGAATGAAAGGATAATGGCATTTTCCCACAATATGTTTGAAGCACCCTTGTATACGGTGTTAAGTATTCCAAATAACTAATCAAGTGCTTTTTCCCCCCCTTCTTTTATGAGTTTGGGAGCTCATCAGCTGTTAAAGCTATAAACGAGCTTTTGAGATTTGTAATCTATTAAGTACAGACACTGGGCTTATGTTTATGAAGCATTTTCGCTCTCTCTAGAACTCCAGTTCCTCAGAATTGAGACCCTTTGGCCCAAGACTTAGTGTGTTATTGTCTTTTTGCTGGTATTTTCTCTTGTTCTGTTTATAGAGAGTTCCTGGACTTAATCTTCTAGACCTTCTTTGGAATTTTATTTACTTTTGCAGTCAAATTATGATTTTCAAGAGCTCTTTACTTATACCAGTCTCTTGTCATTGGCAAACGTATTCTCTCTTCAAATTATTCCACGAATAGTAATTCAGCTGACCACCATCGAGTTGATTCGGTCTCACAGTGGCCCTATAGAGGGTTTGTAAAGCTTCCTTTATTTCTTTGTTTAGTTCTGCTTCCTCTGTGGCCAGGTTTCTGCTTGCTAAGCTCTGGCTCTTTAGGCTGTGTGCTTTTCTCCACCATTGAGGGCTTCTTATGCCCTGCCATATGTGAGGATGTGGGAGAAGGAAGGACCGGCCCTCTGTGATTGTGAGCGGGCTGCGGGGGCATGAGGTGCAGGCTTGCCCCACCGATGCACTTCCGTGAAGTCTTACTTCCTGTTGGCAGGAATGTGAGGCACCCTTCCTCGGGCACCTCTCCTTACAGGTTTTCATTGCTTTCATTCCTAATGGCTGCCTGAGAGGAAGCAGTCCGATGGACCCAAGCCACCATCTTGACTTAGAGCCTGCATTTCCTCTCACACTTGTGAGAGGTGATGCGTTCTGTGACGCTGTGGACAGACAGAGCTTGCCACACTGTTGCTTCTTTCGGATTTTACAGATTCTCCAGCACTTAAAGCACTCCAGGACGACTTCCTCGAGTTTGCAAAAGACAAAAACTTCCAGGTGCTGAATTTTGTGGAAACACTACCAACCTACATTGGCAGCATGATTAAACTCCACGTGGTGCCGGTGGAATCAGCAGGTACTTATCTCTCTTGGGTTGCCTGTCAGCACACAGCTGGTGGTGCCTGGTGGTTAATCACCAGTGTCCGTTTTCATGTCCAGTTTCTCAGTTTGAGGAGACAGATTTGTTTCGTTCTTCTCAGCCTTTAAATCACTAGATTTAATGTGCAGCCTGGGCCTTAGCCCTCCCACCCCTCAAGTTACTGAGTAAAGGACAGAGGTTAATTGACTTGTTCAGTTAGCACTCACCAGCCAACTCTTGTTTTCAGTTATGAGTCTAAACCCTTCTATCAGCTACATTGAAAGGGGCCTTTCACTTACTAGATATTAAGTGCCAACCTGCTTCTTCCAAAGTTAGCCAGAGACATGGAAGCTTAAGTAAGTGGAACATAACATGGGGAAGAGCCAAGCAGAAAAGACTGCGATGGAGAAAGCTAGAGTTTCAGCACAATCTCTCCCTAAGCCTGGAGCTCAGGGGCCTGGCTAGTCCCTGCTGCCTCGGCCTCTTTGACGATGGAGCTGAATCTTGACTTTTCCCTGTGTGCTGTCTGTGGGGAGCAGAGACACCTCCCCAAATAACGTCTTATCACCTGGAATGCTTCTCCTACCTGGCTGACCTCTCAGCTTGGATGTCACCCCTGAGGCTGGGTCAATTCTGTCCTTTTAGCTCCTAGCAGCAGGGACATGGTGTGTCTTCATTCTACAAACTAGGTTCCATCTGGACCTCATTGTATAATATCTCAATAAATTAAAAAGACAATACTTTGTTACCCCAACTTAAAGAAGTTTGACCTCAAAGTAATACGTCATCACGTAAGGACTTACTATTTAGTACTGACAGCCCTCAAAGTTGTGGGTTGTTGTTAAGTGCAGTGAAGTCGATTTTGACTCCGAATAACCCTGATTAGGGTTTCCGAGGAGTGGCTTCTGGATTCGAAACGGCGACCATGCAGAACTTATCCTGCAGTGCCGCACCAGGACTCCAGAAGCCTGAGGTTACTTGCCCTTTAATGTGATGTAAGCCTGCCCTCACTTCGAAAGGATCAGAGGTGCTATCATCCCCTGCTCGCAACAGATTCTTCATCACAGTCTCTTTCACTAGCTGCACGTGCCACTTTAAAATCATTGAAGCTTCGAGCCTTTACTTGTACTGCAGTGAAATTAAGGAAGAACGGATCCAGCTCCCCTACAGGCTCTGGGGAACACGAATAAAAATGGTTCTCGTGTATAACCCAGAACTACTTGTGTGGCAGAACTTGAAGAGCTCAGTGAACATTTGTCAGCTGTTAACGAAACAACCAATGCGGGAAGCCTGGAGCCAGAGCAAAGTTCCTGTCAGAGCCTTGTTGTAACTGCTGTCCCCTCCATGCCCAGCTCCAGGGCCTTGTCTTCCTTTACAGCAACTCATCCCAGCCCTGGAGCCCTGGTGTGGCGCTGTGGGATAATGCAGCAGGCTGGCGGTTCAAACTCACCAGTCACACCTTGGAAACCTGACTGGACAGCTCTTAACAATGACGACGACAACCCCCAGTCCCACCCCCCCTTCCTCAGCCAGCTGGTCTCACTGGTACCTCTGGTCACCTGTGTTGAGGCAGACTTTTCCTAGACTGGAACATGACACACTCTTCCAAGGCTCTCAAGGAGTTAAGCACTAAATAATCCTTCGCCCCGGGTGGCGTGTTCAGGGTGTTGGGTGTAGAACAGGCCAAACGTTACATTGGCCTCAGTCTCTGCACCACTGAGTTTGTCTTAAGTCGACAATGTAAACGGGTTTAAAGAGGTGTTGGGTAAGGTGGCTGTGGATGGTAAGGTGTGGATGGGTCTGAAGACGGCCAGGCTCCAGCCGTGCTGCTGTTGCCTTAGGACACATAGGAACAATTTAGGAAAAGCGTAACGTGTAATGATACATACGAGAGCCCATTCTTACATCATTTGTCACATAGCTCCAAACAATAAGCATCGGACTGTGAACCACAAGGTCTGCGGTTTGAGCCCACTAGCTGCTCCCGTGAAGATTGAAAGGTTCAGAAACCACATACAGGATCGCTGTGAGTCTCAACCGACTCTAAGGCATGTAACAGCAATGAGAAGCTCATCTCCAGTCAGGCCTCAAATTCCTTTATCTTTTCAAAGTCTCTTGTTGGCTTTAGTTGCCATTCAAGTGATACCGACTCCTGGCAACCCTCGGTGTATGGAGCTGAGCTGCTTCCAGGGTTGTTAGACCTTTCAGAAGCAGGTCACCAGGCTTTTCTTCTGAGGTACCTGTGGGTGGGTGCAAACCATTCGTTTTTTGACAAGTGTCCCTTGTCACAACCCAGTCGACATTTATAAGTGCCCGCCTGGCTCTTTGAAAGATTGACAGGAGTTGGTGGAGGGGGCACTCTTATTTTTGCCTTGGTTTTATTGACATTTTGTTTTCTTCAGATTTAGGTATTGGAGATCTAATCCCTGTGGATGTTAACCATTTAAACATTTGTAAGCCAAAGACCAAGGATGCGTTTTTGTATCAACGTACCTTACAATTCATCCATGAAACTCTAGCCAAAGACCTTGAAAACTGACAGTTTTCCTGTTCCACTTTTTATGTGTGAGCACAACGCTGGAAACTCGGTGTCCCCTTCTCTTTCTAAGCACCCTCAGCTGTGCCAACACCATGACTCCGGCATCAGTGTCGTCTGGAATCTGCTACAGCCCCGAGCAGCAACCAGAAAATACCATCGCCGACGGAAGCCGCACTGGGGGTAGAAAGAGCTGGCTTCCTTCCCCTTAACGGATTGCAGGTGCACCTCTGGGTAGTCGCAGTGTGCGTGCTGCCTCGTGCTACCTCGTTAGCAGGGCTGGGAGCTGCTGTGGGTGGAGAAAACCCTTTCTTGGGGGCTGGCTCCCAGCTCAGAGCTGCGTGCGGTGGAGGACAGACGGGACCAGAACAGAAATGACTGCTTAGTTCTGGGTGTCCGTGTGCGTAAATTCTTACAAGCATGTCCACGTATGTGTTCATCTAGTGTTGCATCGGCGTGCCCTGTATCTGACCTGCTCTCAGGTAAGGCTTAGCTCCTTGTACGTCTCTTCTCGGGTTGCTGAGAGAAAATCTGCTTTTTCAGATTTCTAGGTTATAGCCGTTCTTTCTAGACCCTAGCTACCTACGCTGACCCTTTGTCCCAGATAAGGAGAAAGTAGCTAGTCCAGAATTGATCCGAGTATGAAGTAAAACGAAGCCATTCTGTGTGTTAGCAATCCTTAGTATTAAGCAGCCCAGATTTTTGGTAGCCAAATAAAGTGGTTCATTCGCAAGTGCTGGCCATTGACCTCCCACCTGGGAGAAGCAGGGAATCGTGTTGGTGGTCTTGGTTTCTTTAAGTGACAGCTTTATAGAGAGATGGTTTGTACCTCATAACGTTCACCTTGTAGAGCTGAATGCAGTGCTTTTTGGTATACTCAGAGATGTGCAACCACTGCCTAATTTCAGAACACCTCAGTACCCCAAAAAGGAGCCGGTGCCCATCAGCACTCTCCCCTCCCCCCCACCCCTGCTCCTGAACCCCTGCCCTATCTCAGGCCTTTCCTGCTCTGGACGTTTCACATACGTGGAATCAGTCATCCAGTGTCACCTCCTAAGTTGGGCTGCCTTCACGTCACGTGTTTTCAGGGGTCATTCTTGTAGTCTTGATGGTACTTGGTTGCTCACTGCTGGTGGTAATTCTGTGTGTGGCTGCGTTTTGTTTATCCAGTCCTCCGTCAAAGGACATTTGGGTTCTTTTAAACTGTTATGAATAACGCGGCTGAGAATAATTCACGTTCAGGTTTTTATGTGTACGCTTGCTTGTCATTCCCTTGGGTGTATGGCCCGGAGTGCTAACTCTGTGCTGGATCATTGAGGATGAGGCACTGCTGTAGGATGGGAGGGTCAGCGGGTCAGCAATCGGCTCATCAGCATCTAATTGTCTAGTTAGGCACCAGGTGCACAACCATAGACACAGGTAATGCGGTGGTAGCTAACAGTGGTCCCCTAGTTATGGGGTCCATGGGGGAAGGAGCAGACAGATAGGGTTGCTGCATTTTCCTTTTCTGTTTGCCATCGAAACAACTGCTGGTGAACTTCAAGTCATGGAATGAAACCCCAGTCCTGAAAACCCAGCATCGTCCTGGCGGTCTGGGCACGAGAGAGGCCCAGAGTATTCTAACCTACCAGAGCAGGGTCTTCAGGCAAATCACCTGACTTTTTTTTTTCTCTCATTAACCTACTTATCATCCATATAGCCAGCTGTGAAATGGGTATAGATTTAATGGATGAACTTCATGAAATTTGAGTTAACTTAGATACTGTAAGAACACATAGTATGAAAACTACATGGATTTGTAATCATTTTAAACTTAAACCATAAGTAAAATGGCTCTTCCCTTACTTCAGTCAGCCTAGACCTGCCGGAGGCATTGCACAGAACGCCCATTTTGTCTCTCTCCTCCTGCTACAAGCCATGTTCAGTGGTCTTGTTCAAGGGGGAATGAAAGTGTCAAGTCATTTATGACCCTTTGACTTCTTGGATATTCTCCCACACTTGCAAGATTGCCCTAACACTCTGGCTACCCAGCCCTCCTTTCCCTGAGTACAAGTTAACATCACCAGGGAGCGAGTCAGACTGCAAGACAATGCGGTCACAACACCTTTCGCCGCTCCCACCTCGCATGCAGGGTACGCGCTGTCTGCTCTGGGGGAGGTGGGCATGTCACTCTGTTGCCTGGGTCAGTGCCCACACGGACTGCATTTGGTGTATTGATTACAGCTCTGTGATACCGCTCTTGGACTTTGTGTATACTCACAGTGCCCCTCAGATGGTTGTAACTCCCAAAATCAAGTGTGAGGTGTACCCTCCTGAATTTTCATCTCTTTCTACATCAGTGTACGCTTTGGTTTTTATTGATGTTTGGTATACAATGGTCTGTTCAATAAAAGTTGTTTTAAAGTATGTGTAGAACTGAGCACATCATTATTGGGAAGCTGAACACTCGCCAAATGGTAAGCACTTAAAATACTAGACATTTCTTCTCTCAAAAAAAAAAAAAAGCGGCATTTTATTATGAATTACCTTACTAAGACAGAGACAGAAAGCAGACAGTTCTGTGTCCAAGAAATTTTCAACTTGTAAAACAAGTCTTCCGTTTGAAAATGTCAGTCCTTAATTTGCTTTTGGCTTGGCTTTAGGGTTCAGAAGTAGTGTCATGGAATAAGACCCCTGGGCCCAGAGTTTGGAAAATAAAGTTGGTTAGACCCTTAGGGTTTCTTTTAATCACAGCAGAATCTCAGATGTCTTAAAGCCAATTTATTTTATTATTATTTTTTAAGGGTTTTGATTTATTGAGCCAATTGCTATTCAGAAAGCATAGGTGAATTCACATTTCCACAACATTAAAGAATGTTAGACCTTACTACTGTGACAATCGTCCAGACAGGACCATTGTATTTATATTGTATTACAGTGTATTTCTATAATATTTACAATATTCTCATGTGTGAAGTTGAACCTTGACCATTTCTTTTTTTCCTCCCTTTTGAAACCTTGTAAGCTAGTCACTTTGTGCCTTTATCGCCCCCTCATTTTAGGTAGCCAATGTCTAAGTTGCCCGTCCCTATCTACCCTGTGTACAGAGGGGATAGCATTGATACTTGATGTGAAGACTCCTTCCCTCTCTGTTGGTATTTAGAGTTACTACCTCCATGATTATAGGTCAACTTCATCAAATAGTTAAAGGCAATTGCTTTTGTAAAGCTGAGTGTGTGGGTTCCTGGGACACTGGAATAGTGAGTGTTGTGAGAGTCAGGGTTCTCTGTTAACTTGACAGGGTCAGGATGCTCTGTGGTTTGCCAGTTGAGATGGAGCTATCCCCCATCAAGTGATTTTGATGTGATAAACCAATAAGAGGACCAATGGTGGCATTTGTTGTTGTTATGTGTACTGGAGGCAGTTCTGACTCATAATGACCCAATGTTCAACAGAACGAAACATCACCGGGATGCTGTAACATCCTCACAATAGCTGCTACACTTGAGCACATTGTTGCCAGTCCATCTTCCTGGGGGGTCTCCCTCTTTTTTTGCAACCCTCCACTTTACAAAAGCATGATGCCCTTCTCCAGGGACTGGTCTGAGAACATGTCCTTAGTATGAGAGATGAAGTCTGTCCATCTTGGCCTCTTAGGGAGCATTCTGGCTGCATTTCTTCCAACACAGATTTGTTTGTTTTTCTGGCAGTCCATGGTATCTTTGGGATTCTCCAACACTATGACTCAAATGCATCTGTTATTCTATGGTTTTCCTTATTCGTTGTCCAACTTTCACATGCATATGAGGCTATTGAAAATATCATGGCTTGAGGACTAAAGGCACACTTTAGTTCTCAAATTGACATCTTTGCTCTTGAACACTTTAAAAGAGGTCTTTTGCAGTAGAATTTTTTTGTTTTACTTTTTAAAATATTTATATTCTGATTATGAGTTTAAATTTATTACACAGTCAAGTAGTGGAATGAAATAGTTGAAATAATATGAGTTATTAGATTAGGACAGGGGAATGTTCTTTTTTTTCTAAGTTTTTATTGTGAATTGAGTTTTAGAGTTTACATGGGAGACCTTCGGTTTTGCACTCATCCTATCGTGTTTCATTTCATTGCAATTGTTACAATCTCCTCCGTGCATCATCATTATACAGCATTTGTTTCCATCCCCTCTGTTTTTTTTTTTTTTTTTTTTTTTTTATGTACACAAAAACACTCAGGCATATATAATAATTTAAACCACCAAAGGGCACATTCTGCAAGTCTGCCTCCTGACTGCCAGCTTTCAGTCCGTCTCTTTCCATGGATGTATAGTCCTCAGCTGCTTCCTCTCTCCATGTCCTCATCTCTGCCTCCATCTCTGGTGTTGCTGCTACTCTAGACAGGGTCCCACATTCTGCTCGTGCTCTTCTCCCTTAATGGTCGTAGGGTTCTCTGTTCCTGGACTATAAGATTAACTACTCCCCCCTTTTTGTAGTAGATTTGCCTAATGCAGTATACCATTTGCTTTCTTAACTGCTGTTTCCATGAGAGTTGTTGGTGGATCCAAGTAAAATGAAGTCTATAACAACTTCACTCTTTTCCCCATTTATCCTGATACTATTTATTGCACCAGTGGTGAGGATTTGTGTTGTCTTTACATTGAGATGCCATCCATACCAAAGGCTGTGCTCTTTGATCTTGATCAGTGAGTATTTTAAGTCTTTGCTTTCAGCAAGTGAAGTTGTATTATCTGCATATTACAGGTTGTTAATGAGTCTTCCTCCAAACCTGATGCCACGGGCTTCTTGGATACCAGCTTCTCAGATTATTCACTCACCATACAGATTGAATAAGTCTGGTGAAAGAGCACAACCCTGGAGCACACCTTTCCTGATTTTAAGCCATTCAGTGTCCCCTTGTTGTTTGAATACCTGCTGCTTGGTCTATGTGGCTCCTCAAGAGCCCAGTCAGTGTTCCTAAATACTCATTCTCCACACTATTGCCCATAGCTTGTCATGATCCACACAGTC